TGCCCACAGAACCAGTTGTTAAAAAATTTGAATCCCACCCCTGGCCTAAAGTATTTTTTAAAGCAGATAAGTTCCAACAGATCAGATGCTTGACAATAGTAGTTAATCTTTTTGATCAGTGGGTATGTCGTGCATTTCTAAATAGAGCGTATTTTCATAGATCACATTTTAATTCTTGATATTGCTAACACTTCAATAACACCAGTTTGCCTGATGCTTTATTTTGAATTAGTTGCATCCCCTGCAGTTTCTGCTTTTGAATCCCCCACAAGCTCAGACAGAAAGCTTTTTGTCCCAATAATTGACAGAAGGTTGCCCCACTAAAATACTCAATTTTGGCATTTTCAAAGATAAATAGCACTGAGAAGCCTGGGGGGGCTGCTTTTGATTTTTAAACTATCTGCTGTCTCAGCTCTACTAAGATTGAACAGAATTTGTCAAGCTGAGCTGCTCTAGTGATAAGGACCTATTTTTGAAAGAATTGAGCCTTAGCTAAAGTCCCTTTTGAATTGACTTTGACTCCTCATGGTTTTAACAATAGATCCATGTCGTCCGTCCACTTGACAGGGGAAAGGAAATAGTAAGCCTTTGCCTTCTTCTGGGATCTGCTGTTTAGCTTCCCAGCCTAGATGATCAGTCTTCTATTCCTGGAGGACTGCCATCCAAGTATTAACAAGACCGCCATCTTCCTTAGATTCTGAACCAGACAAGGTCAGGTACATGCTCAAAATAAGTGTCACCAAAAAAACCCTCCAAGAATAACACAAACGTTTTGTGTTTGTCTGCATTTAAATGGTTTCAACACCTAACAAAACCACCCATTTCCAACATTCTGGCCCATTATGTCTTATTTTGGTATAGATTATTAATATTTGATGAATGCAACATCTATTGCTATATTTGTTTGTATCAACATTATAACTTAGCAAAATAATACCAAGAGCCATTTAACAAAGGAACAAGTATGCATGTGTATGTGCATTTTCTAATATGGATATAAACAATGTTAGAGTTAAAAAATAAAAGTGTTTTAGCGTTATTTGTCATAGGAGTACAATGCTAGCAAGGACTATTAGTATGCAGTGGGCAACAGTATTTCTGAGAGATACAACTTACCTAGTCATTTGATTTGTTTTGTCTAGATTTCTTGTTGGTCTAACTTCATGCAGGGTACTCCCATGTTATGATAACAGAACCCCTAAAATGATAACTGAATGACTATGAACATCTCCTATGCAATGATTAGTTTATCAAATAGAGAGCAGTGAAGACAAAAGTGTGAAACTTGGTCACAGGCCAGATCGTGATGCATCGTGATATTTTTTGCCTTTGTGGAGCCACAGTGGCTGTAGATTGTGTGTGACGTATCCAGCCTGAAGGCCGCCAGTTTGATAGGCCTGTTCTAATAGAATCAGTATGTTTGCAGCCTTCGTTCTTTGTATTCATTTTGACCCAAAATTCATTGAGAAACATTGAGAATACTGTTTTCAAAGAAGTATCAGAAGAGATATTAATGAATTGCTGTTCCTCAGTAGTAGTGAGTTACAAATTTAGTATCTATTAAATTAACAAATAAGTTATTGCTGAAGAAAGGAAGCAGGTGGAGAATCAGTTTATAAGTTTAGCAATATTAAGTAGTCCGAGGTCAGCTTGAAGCAATTAAAAATTTTCATATGTCAGAATTGCTGCCAAACTAAATAAGCTGCTTAGGACCCTTCTATGGGGAGATGGGGCAACCCATACTTTGAGAAGTCCTGAGCAGTGACATTGTGCTGGAAAGTATATTATAATGAATAACTTTGAAGACATTATAAAGCATTTTAAGGCAAACATTTATGCAAGAGCACCACCTAGCATAATGATGCTATTTTCAAGCAACCTGCTGCTTTTTATGAAAGATTCCAATTGTATTTTATTTATTTACATGTCTTGTAGGCTGCTCCAGTCTGCCAACTTTTAAACAGCATAGAATTTTCAAATCCATAATTGGCATTAAATTATATAGTCAGTTCAAAAACAACTAGAAGTATTTCTATGGAATTGAAAGTCAAGAATAAAAACATTAATAATAACCTCACAACCAAGAGACAATTGCAGTAGTCCTGCCTCCTTGACTTCAGTGGAACAACCCAGTTTTCACCAATTTCCTAGAAACCAGAAGTGATGGGGCTGATTATGGATCAGAAAGAGGGAGATGTTGTTTTAGAGGGGCTGTGATTGAAAAGGCACACATAGTAAGCTCACCTATTGGAACATATAAGTCAGGCAGCTGTGATAGAGGGGAAATATCCAAGTCCAAACAATGGTGAAAATGGCAATCAACCCCTTGAATTACACCAGAAGATACCTGACAGCTCTCAAGAGTAAAGGTGTTATGTGGGTATATCTTGAGGTACCCCCCCCCCCACATTGTTTGAGCTACTGTCTTTTGAATCAACTACAGCTTCTGAATGGTCTTCAAGGGCAAATCCATGTTCAACAGTCCAATCAAAATTGTCTAAGACAGGAGTGCCCGTGTGTTATGCTTGTTATTCCAGAAAGGTTGTAAATAGTGCACAGATGAAACTGTGCAGTCTTCCTTGACTACTACTACATGTTTCTCACAGGAGCTGCGAATTTGAGAGGACATTTAAATTGCAAACCAGGTTCAAACTATGTCTTATTTGTGGTTGGTTACATCTGATCCTTGTTTTTTAACTAGTGGCATAGTTAAAGACATATCTGTTTCATTTCCAGAGCTTCTCAAATGAACCAAGAAGCCATCCTGTATCAGCAAGCTGAGAAGGGCCATTCAAGTGCAATTTTATCCAAGGTTATTGTCACCTTATTCCAGTCAATAGTTAAAACCTACCATCAGCTTTGGAAATTCCACAAACATTATCAGGAAACCAAACAGTTCCATTAGAGGTCTGGTACTGCCTCTGGGAAGTGATGGCATTACAGAACTTTATGCCAACTGGGGAATCATCAGGCAGATGTTAGTAACTCTGAATCTTAGATCATGTCACAACTGCCCAAAACAAAACTCAGATTTAGCACTGCAATTTAAACAAATTCTATATTTTCTGAGAATCGATATGAAAACAATAGTTTTTCTAAGAGAGATTGTTTCTAACCTGTCCATGGCAATTTTTTCTATATCAAATATCCTCTGACTTAACTGTTTCAATGTGCCATTTAGTGGCCAGGAGTACAAATTGCATGTGCCTTTTATACAATGTTGTTTTATTCCAGTGTTTGAAGCACTGAAAGAATCCAAGACAGAATGGTTTCCTATGTGATTTCTAACAAACAGATGCAGTATGGCTTTAGGTTATGGGAAGTAAACATGATTGCTAAGGTTAGTAGTCTCTCATTCCTATAATTTCTAACAGCTTGACCAATTTAAACACCATTTTCTATGCAAAGGAAGGTAATGGAAGACAATCCTAGCCAATCCTAAATTATAATCTTCAATTTAAAAATGTTTCCTGCTGTACAGAATAAAAAATGCTTATTATATCTAGGCCAAATAGACAAATTAATTCCCTGTGAGATGTTGCAGAGTGAATAGAAATGTAATTGGTCATTCTAATGAACTGATTTTAGTCTTCCATAGATATGAACCCTGTTCAGTCAATGCAGATGATAATCAGGTTCAAACTCTGCATGTAATTTGTTTCTATTTCTGCCTTCATATTTCTTAGTAATTGGAAATTTGATAAGCTTACTGAATTTTCTTTTACTTTCCTCTATACAATGAGATGCATGGAACTGTGCTTACCAAAAGATGACCAAGTATGGTTCAATGCTATTCCTGAATATACTTAAAAGTAGAACTATTTACCTCAATAATTTACCTTTAAAATGGGAGGATCATCTTGTGGAGAATGTAATGTGATATTTCATTTTTAGATCACCTTTGCTTTGTCAATCAACAAGAGAGATATAGAACACATCAACACATCCTCCTTGCATCAAAGCTGATGATCTGTTTATTTTTTGTCGATATATATTCCACCTTGCTGCCAACTTATTGGTGGGCAAGGTGAACCTGAACCAAAGCAATTTGGCAGAAAAGGCACACTTTTCAGGGGAAAATGTGATTATAACCTATACAAATGTTATGATTTACATGCAGGAGGAAACTGGACAAGGACAGAGACTTTAAAGAAATTTAGAGATGACATTGGGAAGATATGAGTGAACCAAGAGAGGTTCACTCATATCTTCCCCAACGTCAACCAAGAGATGTCATAGAATCCAGAGGCTAAAGGAAGTGTGAGAAAAAAAATCTCAAAATAACCCTACTTTGTTTTTGTCTAGTATAGAATGATATAGAGACAAAATTATTGGCTTTCAAGATTCTGTTGTTGTACACAGATTTTGAATGTAGTTTAACAATCAACAAGTGAAGAGAGATTTGCAGGTCAATACTCTTCAATATATCGTTTGATGCATTTTTGGGAATAGTCGAGCCCAAAATTGACATATATGTAGCCATTTTATTTAGCTCTATATTTTAATCATATATTCCTTTTCTTTCTTTCTCTTTGCTAGTGTTAAGGAGGGAGGGTTTCGGGCTCGCCACATTCTTAAGGTAGGAGGTGGTTAGATAGTGAGGATTGTTTTGGCTAGGTGACTTTCTTTCCCATGGGAACGGAAGCTGTCCCTGCTGAGACCTCGAGGTGGAATTTGAAGACACTGGGCAATGCTGATTTCTTTTTATTGGGGAATGTGACTTTTATGGGGCGTTTCTGATTTACAATATTATGTGGTTTGTGTCAGATCCAGAATTACAACAGACTTTGATGATTACCTAAATAAAAGAAATTAGTTTTGGAAGATGGATTTTACATTTTTCTTTTTCTAAATGGGTTTCATCACTTGGAAACCTGATATACAAATTACTCCAAACCACAGGACTAAAACAAACATTTATTCTAAGACATCTTATTTTCAACTTAAAACTTCTTAAAATATTGATTCGCAATAGATTTACAATTGTTATAATGATTTACAATTCATTAACAAGAGAATACTAAATGAATGTGTAAAAATTACAAATAATCACACTATAGATAAATATATATATAAAAAGTAACATTTGAATGAAAAAGCAACAAATCTGCTGTGGATAAAGCCTATTATAATTTCTTCTTCCATGTAGTGGTTTTGGACAAGAATTGTCATTCTTTTATCATTATTAGTTTACAGCATGACATTAATGGCTCTTTAACTGTAGTCAAACATAGCTTAGAAGTACTCAGGTATCACCTCTTTAGCATGACATTTTTTCTTTCCTCTTGTTCAACTGACCCACCACTTCTCTAAACACTAGATAAAGAAACTACAAGTTGTAGTGGCCAATATCACTCTAAAAATAAAATGCAGTAAATCAGATAAAGAATTAAGTAAGGAGTAAGGTATTGAGTACATAAAAACGTAAGAACCACAGAAAGAAAAAGAAAAATTAGAAGTACACAAAAGAAAAGTTTTAAAAGGAAGGAGAGAGAAAAAATGTAATTGAGACCGCTACAATGGTTTTTTTCAAGTGTCCTTTTCTTCGATACTGAAGAAATTATTTCTGGTCCAACTACTACAAGAATTTACAAAAATATCCAACACTTTTTTCATGAGCTCATACTAGACAGAATGTAAACTAAACACCCTGAAACCAACTTAAAGGACCCTTTAAGATACACACAGTTCTAAATAGTTTGATTCAAGTTTAAATAGAGAAGCTCTCATCTGTATATTTACTACAATTATTCCAGACCTTTAACTTTCCATGCTGCTTACTTTTCCCTTGAGCATTTCTAAACAGGACCTTATTGAAAACTTATGCATGGTAGACATATCTATTTCTCCAAAGATATATTAAATATAATTACAACATTGTTCACAGTTCACCAGAAGCTTATCTGATTTGAATGTGCAAACAGTAGAACGTCCAAGATGAAGAACAAATTTCTTAGTGGAAGTTAACGTCAGCCCCTTTAGTTCAGTCTGTGTTTGAAAAATGCCCCTAGTTTCCTTCAATCTTATTCATTATGGTATTTCTTTTCTGTATGAGCACTGATGATTTTAATTTCCTTTCACGCGAGGTGCAACTGTGGAAGAGAAGGATGAAATTAAAATTTAATTATTACTTTTGCAATAACCTTCTGGTAATGATCATGACATGTTCTCAATTGTTTTGCAAAGATCTGCAGTACAAAATTAGGATGTTCCGGGAGAGTGTCTTGAGGTATAAGTAAGTGTGGCAATATCTAATAGATACATTTCCACATTAGTCTTCGCCCCCCCGCCCCCTTCTGCTGTTATTACAATAAGCATATGCTCTGCTTCTCCCTCTTCTGGCTTTAAGTATAATGCCATGTATATAGGCCAGTGGTGGCTAACCTTTTTTGGCTCATTTGCCAGCACCCAGAAGGCAATGCGTGCTGGGGCCACCCATGCCCCCTGCACATGTACGCACAACCCCCCGCACATGCTGCGCACCTCTGCGCATACATATGCGATCCCTTTGCGCATGCCGCGTCTCTGTGCATGTGACAGCCCCGTACGTCTCTGCACATGCATGCCTCCTGTGTGCCCCCACCCCCCCACGCATGCGTGCCAGATACCCAACAATAAGCTGTTGGGCGGTGGCACGCGCTCATGAGCAGTGGGGCTCTTCTGGGCGACCTCTCACATGCCGGCAGAGATGGCTCTGCATGTCACTTCTGACACGCATGTCACAGGTTCACTATCATGGATATAAGCCATTGAACATTGCCTTAACTATGTGTTGATGGCAGCTATTTTCTCCCAAGTCAAACATTCATCTAAATGCCTTGAGGTGAATCAGTAAAAGAAGAAAATCTCAACACCTTCATTTGTCATATCAACCTGGGACTCAGTGGTGTATTAACCATTAAGCAGACTAAGCATGTGCTTAGGGCACCAGGCCCAAAGTGGGTACCACAAAGTTGAGAACATGGCTTCGTTTCTACAGTATGTACAAAAGAGAGGGGCACCAAGATTTGTAAGTGCTTAGGGCACCAGTGAGCTTTTATCCGCCTCTGCTGGGACTTCAACCTACCCCAAAATGTGCCCTTTTATTTTCAGTCTGCTGTGTTTCTCTCCCCTAGAGGAATACGGTCCCATAGTTGTAATAACTGTTCACCAACCTGAGGTTCCAGTTCCTAAGTGGAAGAAGAAAAAAAGGCTTTGAGATTGCTAAAATTTAAATTCTGGCTTATAAAAAAGCAAACCACTTTATAAAAGTAAGCAGAATTAAGGCAATGATATTCAGTATCATTTTAATAATTATGAAAACAATTGTTTTTTCCAGAAATATTTCCAGGTGCAAAAGACTCCCGTTTATTGCTTTAAAAAAGCTACCAGTATCAAGACATTCTTGACAATAAAGACTAAAAGAAGCAAGAAAATGGTATTCTATTGTAAAAATTAGCATACCTGGCCATCTCGGCTTATCTGTACTTTCTTATTGTCATTCCAAGGATTAAGCAGATGATGAGCAAATTGAAAAGGGAGACTTTCCTTCCGAATCCATTCCACCTTGAACACTCCCCCTAAACCAGTTGAACCCCAGTCCTGACTTTTCTCACGGCCTATCTCAGAAGACATTCGAGCAAAGCCCTGTGGAAATTTTAGTGAGATTAAAAACCTAACTAAAACATAGGTATTAATTTTCATCTTTGTGTTAAAACAATCTCTTCTAAGTTTTAGGTAATATTTGGCTTATAATCACAATTAGGACTGGAATGTCTGTCACTAAACAATGCTGTTAAGAGAGTTGTGCCTGATTTTACAATCTTTTTTTGCTGTGGTCATTAAAGGAATCACTATATTTGTTAAGCACATCTGGCTTCCCACATTTACTTTGATTGTTGGAAGCCAGTAGAGTGAAGGTTTAGCAGCATAATCCAGGCAATATACTAGGATTGCTTTGCCTTGACATTACACACCATTTAATCAAATCATGCATTGGTTCTCAGCCTTCATCCTTATATGCGAGCATTTATTTGGAAAAACAATCCCCTCCCTCCCAAAATAGATGTATTCCTATAAAATGAAGTTGTGATAAAATCACAACTCATGTTTACCACAATGTTATACTAGTGATGAAAAATATTTTAATTCTATTAAGATTTAATTCAAGCATTCATAAAAACAAAATGAGAATGTTCACAAAAATGTGTGTGAGTGTGTGTGTGTGTGTGTGTGTGTGTGTGAAGGAAAACCTTATGTCTGATCAGATTTTATATGAAAATCTTACTGCATATTTTATAAAATCTACAAATGTTACTTTGCATCTGCAGGGAGTATAGGCGGTTCTTGTTTAATAACTATTTGTTCAAGGACCATTCAAACTTAAGAAGGCACTGAACAAGTGGTAGTTGCAACCATTCCTTATTCTTATGGCCATCACAGCATCCTATGATCACACAACTGCCATCTGCAATTTTCTTTGATGACTCCCTGCAAGCAAAATCAATGTGGAAGCCAGCAGAAGTTGGCAAACAGCAACTACTTGACATCCTTACTTTTATTGATCATGATGATTCACTTAATGACAGCAACCGGCACTGCCAGAACCTCTGTTGCTAAATAGCACAGTCATATGACATTGTACTTTACTACGTTACTTAAAGATGGAAATTCTTGTTCCAATTGCTGTCTTTAAGTGAGGAATATCTATATATCACAAAATCATATTTTTCTGAAATGATCAGCGTGCATTGAAATAATAGTAAATTAAATTAAGAAGTCAATTACTTGACAAATGTTTACATGTAAGTAATATGCAGTGAACTGTCAATAGCCAATTTGTCAGTTTGGAAAATTTTACCTGAAAATGTCCTGATCCCTGAACAGAAAATACCAAGTAAACAACACTACTTTCCCAAAAAGCACGATTCAGTTTTCTCTCATTACTTGGAGTTGTAGACCAAATCCCCTTCTGTTGTGAAATCTCAAGATTCCTTAAATTGCTGCTTTTCATAATAAAGTACCGAATTGGCATATTTGGCCTTGGAGAAGGAGATTTGGAACCCTGCAAAAAAAGTTTTATTTTATAGTGCTTGGGATATATGATTAAGGTTTGTAAAAACCTTAAGAACTTTTTTGTACCGTGTAATTTAAGAGCTGTCAACCAAAAGAATGAGAACCCTGTATGAATGCTATATGCTACAAATTAAGTACAAAATCAAATATAACAATTGCACTGACGTTTAACTGGTGACTTTGAAACTTCAGTATAATTGCAGTAGAATCAGTAAATTTTGGTTCTTCTGCTATGGCTTGTCATTAAACTTCCAAAATAATATGTAGATCTGGAAATAGGTTTTATTTGATCTTATCAGTTTTAAACATTTACAGTCAAACTATAGCAATGGTTTCATAACTAAATGAGATGAAAGACTGCTCTTGATTCCTGAACAAATTAGTATTTTGCCTCTTGGGAAAATGCAAAAATCACAATAGCCACAAATGTGGAATGGATTATACAATTAAGTCACTATTCCACTTCACTAAGCATTTCATTTTAGCCTAATACTTGCTAAGACATTGATTTTCTTGAATGCTTTATACCTATATTAAAGCTTTAGTAGGAGGGTGTAGCTTTATTTCATTATGGTTAAAAGGCTAGGTATATTGCATAAAATAATTTAAAAATATCCAGTAATATTAATCATCAAAAATATTTTCAGCACTCACATTTCTCATACTTCATAACAAGAGTCCATATTCCATCAGTGCAATGTGGAAGTGTCTAAGTAGGATACAAGACAAGTCCAGCAAGTCCCTAGTTGACTGCACTTCCCAAGCCTACTGTAGCCTTTCTGCTTGCATGGCTGTTTCAATCCTCTTTTTTTACTTGTCCATCCAATTTGTCTCCTTTATACATACTACTGTTCCTTCAGCTAACTCCATGTTTTTGAAACTTGTCAACTTGTGGACTTCAAACCACCACCAGCCCCAAATTCCACAGCCAGCATGCTTAAAGTTGACAGGTTTGAAAAACTCTTGAGTTAATACCTCCCTGGAATTTATTGCTTTCCCAACAACTGAAGATGGTAGTTGCTGCCCACCATGGCAAACAATTTTCTCCATGCTAGATCAACAAACAAAGTTGTAGAGTAGCACTTGAATAGACAGGGGGAAAAGCTGGTAGGTATGGTTCTATTCGTGCAACTAGAGCCTTGGAGTACTTCAGAACACAGACAAATTTCAGCTCAAACTTGCTTAGAAAGAGGCTAACAGAGTTTCATACATACATACATACATACATACATACATACATACATACATACAT